TTCACGTCGGTCAACTACTGACCTTAAAGAGTGACATCATCAGAGTGTTGTTTATATAGATCGAATTATGAAACGTCTGTGCAAACGTTCGTAACATTAGGGTTAATTATCACATCAATATGATTGCGTGCAATGTGAAATAAACTGTTAGGAAGCGATTCGAAAGGTTGATCACGGGGCACAAACGTATTGGTGTTTACTGTGAGGTTTCGGAATCATCAACATTTTAAGACACTGGCTTACTTTTGCTTAGAGCCACATATGCACTGTACATATACATCTGACAACTGAATTCCTCATTCTCTTTGTTTTAAGTTTGATGGTTGTTGTGTCTTGTGTACCTCATGAATGTAAGGTGCACTGGTTGAGTGAGCGCCTTTGTTCAACAGTTTTAGATGTAAGATTTCATATGCCACATTCTCATATACATTTAACAACTGAATTCCTCATTCTCTTTGTTTTAAGTTTGATGGTTTTTGTGTCTTGTGTACCTCATGAATATAAGGTGCACTGGTTGAGTGAGCGCCTTTGTTGAACACTTTTAGATGTAAGATCTCATATGCCACATTCTCATATACATTTAACAACTGAATTCCTCATTCTCTTTGTTTTAAGTTTGATGTTTTTTGTGTCTTGTGTACCTCATGAATGTAAGGTGCACTGGTTGAGTGAGCGCCTTTGTTCAACAGTTTTAGATGTAAGATTTCATATGCCACATTCTCATATACATTTAACAACTGAATTCCTCATTCTCTTTGTTTTAAGTTTGATGGTTGTTGTGTCTTGTGTAACTCATGAATATAAGGTGCACTGGTTGAGTGAGCGCCTTTGTTGAACACTTTTAGATGTAAGATTTCATATGCCACATTCTCATATACATTTAACAACTGAATTCCTCATTCTCTTTGTTTTAAGTTTGATGTTTTTTGTGTCTTGTGTAACTCATGAATATAAGGTGCATTGGTTGAGTGAGCGCCTTTGTTGAAGACTTTTAGATGTAAGATTTCATATGCCACATTCTCATATACATTTAACAACTGAATTCCTCATTCTCTTTGTTTTAAGTTTGATGGTTTTTTTGTCTTGTGTAACTCATGAATATAAGGTGCACTGGTTGAGTGAGCGCCTTTGTTGAACACTTTTAGATGTAAGATCTCATATGCCACATTGTCATATACATTTAACAACTGAATTCCTCATTCTCTTTGTTTTAAGTTTGATGTTTTTTGTGTCTTGTGTAACTCATGAATATAAGGTGCACTGGTTGAGTGAGCGCCTTTGTTGAACACTTTTAGATGTAAGATCTCATATGCCACATTGTCATATACATTTAACAACTGAATTCCTCATTCTCTTTGTTTTAAGTTTGATGTTTTTTGTGTCTTGTGTAACTCATGAATATAAGGTGCACTGGTTGAGTGAGCGCCTTTGTTGAACACTTTTAGATGTAAGATTTCATATGCCACATTGTCATATACATTTAACAACTGAATTCCTCATTCTCTTTGTTTTAAGTTTGATGTTTTTTGTGTCTTGTGTAACTCATGAATATAAGGTGCACTGGTTGAGTGAGCGCCTTTGTTCAACAGTTTTAGATGTACGATTTCATACGCCACATTCTCATATACATTTAACAACTGAATTCCTCATTCTCTTTGTTTTAAGTTTGATGTTTTTTGTGTCTTGTGTACCTCATGAATGTAAGGTGCACTGGTTGAGTGAGCGCCTTTGTTGAACACTTTTAGATGTACGATTTCATACGCCACATTCTCATATACATTTAACAACTGAATTCCTCATTCTCTTTGTTTTAAGTTTGATGGTTTTTGTGTCTTGTGTACCTCATGAATGTAAGGTGCACTAGTTGAGTGAGCGCCTTTGTTGAACACTTTTAGATGTACGATTTCATACGCCACATTCTCATATACATTTAACAACTGAATTCCTCATTCTCTTTGTTTTAAGTTTGATGGTTTTTGTGTCTTGTGTAACTCATGAATATAAGGTGCACTGGTTGAGTGAGCGCCTTTGTTGAACACTTTTAGATGTACGATTTCATACGCCACATTCTCATATACATTTAACAACTGAATTCCTCATTCTCTTTGTTTTAAGTTTGATGGTTTTTGTGTCTTGTGTAACTCATGAATATAAGGTGCACTGGTTGAGTGAGCGCCTTTGTTGAACACTTTTAGATGTAAGATCTCATATGCCACATTGTCATATACATTTAACAACTGAATTCCTCATTCTCTTTGTTTTAAGTTTGATGGTTTTTGTGTCTTGTGTACCTCATGAATATAAGGTGCATTGGTTGAGTGAGCGCCTTTGTTCAACAGTTTTAGATGTAAGATTTCATATGCCACATGCTCAAGAAACATAAATGTGGACAAATCAACTTTTCAAATAAACAATTACAAAATTTGATAAGGGTGTGACTAATTTAATTGTATAATTTAATATGGGGGCATTTCAAGGGCCAATTCTTTTTGTGGGGGGGGGGACGACGATTGATTTTCTTATCTGTTCTTGGTTTTATATATCCATTGTTAGTCAACTACGCGCATAAAGGCCAGACGTGCATTGCTTAGCTCTGTGTTATAAGAAAAAGAACAATGAAGCGCATTATACGTAATATAAACGAGGCTTTATACGCCTACATAAGCCAAACAACAATAATAATAATAATAATTCCGCTTTAATATTGCGCTAAATACATCTTTGATGTCTCTAAGCGCTTTACAGATATACTATTACCCCGGTCATTGGATTCAATACTCGCCCGCAAACACTGTGTGCACAATCTCCACTCACTGGGGAGCATTCCTGCCAGGTATTACTTAAACTGTTTGAACAACAATGACGGCCGCACCCTACCGGGTACCCATCTAACACCTGGGTGGAGAGTAGCAAGTGCAGGTAAATATCTTGCCAAACGATATTATAGTGCTGTGTCGGGATTCGAACCCTCGACCTTCGCATCTCAAGTCAAGCGCCTTAAACCACTCGACCACGACACTCTTGGTCCACTCTTTTTTTGCTATAATATTATTTTAACCTCTTATTATAGAGAGGCTTAAGTAAATTTGAACTCTAAATGTATTTATATACCGTATCCGGACTTAACCTACAAAAAAACCATTGAGGAAGCGATACCAAGTTGTCGCCCACCTCAAGACCCTTATCCAACCCGATCTTCAAACAAGAGCTGATCATCTAAACACTTGGTGGGAAAATGAAACTAATTAACACTCTTTTTGAGAATAGGAGTGGTTTGATAATTTTCTCCGAAGGATAGAGTTACAAACTTGATCATGATTAAGAAGTAATTCAATTTTCCGGCGAGAAAATGCGGGTACGTATACGTGACGGAGTGTCTGGGTATAGAAAAAAATAGGCCGAACGGATAACCGCATGTGTCCCTAATGTAAGGTTCAACAGAACAGTTAATTATAATGATGATAATGATGATGAAATTAATAGTAATAATAATAATAATAATAATGAAAATACTACTAAGAGTAATAGTAATCAAGCTATCAAGCAAGCGCTTATTGTGATGGCCCCTCATCTTATTCAGATTTGTTAATGAATTATTCTGGATATTGTGTTATGAGTAATTCATGAGAACTCTTTAAATAATGATAAGTCAACTTTTATAACAAATGTGTGTATAATACGATACAGCTTATTCTCCGTGAGATGCAATCAAGAAATCTGTTGTAAATTCATTTTCTCCGTCTCTCTCCTTTGCTATGTCTCTCTTCCTCCCTTTTCCCACTTCATCCTCCTTCTCCGCTAAATTTTACCATTACGTTCTACATTACATAAATATTATTATATTTTTAGATTGAACGAACCCCATAATTAATTTTTCATATTATAACTGATACTTCTGACTGCTAATGATCTTAGAACAAGTATATATGTTTGTATGTATATGTTTACATGTTAGGCCCTGCCTGAGTAATGTCAACGTCCTGGGCCACGATTTTCACGTCTTTATAATATGTCTATTCACTATGTGAAGGAAAGATTCCTTGTTATCTTATTTTGTATTGTTATATTGTTACATTGTATATGCTTTTCTATGGAAATAAATACTACTTATATATTTAGTTTTAATGTCAACATTTCTATCATCATTATACTGTGTATACACTACTTTAAATTGTTATATTTTGTGTATGTTGTATAGTTAAAAACTAATGTGATTTGCATGTTTTGCAGAAGAAAAGGGATTCAATTCCATTCAATAATAATTAAACAAATAATAATGATAATAATAATAGCAATAAATACATCAACATCAATAATAATGATATTAACAGTAATAATGATTATGATAATAACAATAACCAATATAGTGATAATAAGATATTACAAATAATAATAGAGATAATACATTTTGATGAAAATGGATGTAGGTTTTTACGAAAGTGTCACTATAATTATGGTTATATGGGAGCGTATGGCCATTTTTGTTATCATGGATATCCATTTCTAACTGACCACCATATTTCTTTTTGGCACAGCATGGCAATTGTGTAATTATGCCTCACTTTATTTAGGGTCACCAGACGATCGCTTCTGCCGTCAGTTGTTCAAACCACAATGCTCTTTTACAGAAATGTACTTGTCTAATTTAAATCTATGATGTATATTGAGTGACGACTTGCATTTACGCACCCGGCAGCAATCCTGTAAGACTGACCTCGTAAAAAAAACCTGCTCATATTATCATTCCATTGATAACTCAGTTCTCTCGCTCCCATATGCTTAATACACGGACCACCATTTTCCCATATACAATGGGTTAATGTCATGGTCTTTCCCTGTCTGAGTATTGTCTAGACGACGAAAGCAATATGATTGGCTGGTGAATTATCCAATAGGAAGACGCAGCATGCATAATGTTTGGCGAATTATACTGGTACTGGTAGCAAATTTAGAAGTATATCCTCGAATAAAGTTTTGCGTAAGAGCATTCCGGCTTTGCTCGCTGCCAAGTTAGGACCAGGGACCAAGAAACAGCTCCGATAATACAACTTTATCTGCTGTCGATCTTTTGGAAGTTGGTTTTGCGGACCAGATAGACCATGGTGGTCCCTCTTTTGAGCGCCCTCCTGGTGGCTCTTGTAGCCTCATGTTGTGCTTCTTCACCCGAAGGCGGTAAGACACATAACTATCCCCATTACGAATGTATTAAGACATGTTAGACATGGACAAAATCATGCATGTCAAAGTTATATCTGTTCCATGTCGGTCTTTTATTGAATTTGTTTATTTATGTTTTGATGATGTTTTTGTTTTGGTTAACGCTATCCTGCTGGCTTTGGTAGCCACATATTGTGCTACTTCGCATACGGTAGGTGAGATTTCCATGTGGAGAAAAAACAATCACCAAGTTGAATTATACATGTATCAATATTCTCAAATTAGTTTTTGGAATGATTAGCTCGACGACATCTCGGTACGGTTTTGTTTCTTACTTTTAAATGTTCCCCTATAACTCTTTAACTGCCATTCAACCGTCAAAGATAATCTCGTTATATTTGTATGATTTTAAATGGAAAGTTTATTTTTTGACACGTATAATTCGATAAAACTTCTACAATTGTGTTTTGATATAATTTGCCTTTGCCTTTTCGAGGAGTTGCGTCTACTTAATATGCTTTTTATTGCGTTTTTGTTTTGTTTATAGTAATAGCATTATTATTTCCTGTCCTGTATAATTCCGTGTGTACACTTTCGTTTGAATATTATTTGCCTTTTAGGTTGGGTTTATAGATTATATACTACTATTTCTTTCTTGTTTTGCTTCGTGTGTTTCTGTTTTAAAATAATCCTACAATGTTGAAATAATATTTCAATACTTTACGTAGATTCGTGCGGCCTTTTGTGGCCGATATGTGTGGAAATCCATGCGAATGGGGTACATCCCCCTCCTAATTAGATTTATACAGTGGGCCATCTTTTCTAATCGATGGTGTTTGATTAAATCCCCTAGAAAAATTACTCAAAACCGACCCTTGTTGCTTGTAACACAATTTTGGACCAAACAAGACACTACGAAAGTGATTATCCCCCTTTCTTTTGTGGCTTGTAAGAAATGAAACTGAAATGCAATAGGAATGTTTCCCCTCCACGTGAAAAAAAAAATCTAATTTCGCCTCTGCAGTTTTGGGCCATATTCATTTCTGCATCCGAGTTAAACAAAAAATATAGGTGAGGAAGAAAATGAGTCTTTTCCATTGTAAGCTGATGTTGGAGTGTATATCACTATATTTTAAACTTACGCATTAGCAAAACCACAGCTTGCCTTCCGCTTACCGGAAATTTCAACGTACTGGCAATAGGCGCAACTTGATATTTCTCTTATAGCCTAAATACATTTTCGGACTATGATTTTGGACTATGTTAACTGCTCGTTGAAGTGTTTGAAGATGAAAATAAAGACAACACAAAAGCCAATTGTATATGATATGTTATGATGCAAACAGACATTATTCATATGTTATGCTTTTAGCAACAGTACCCGATGACCGTGCAGTAAATTTTAGGTGTAGAAAAGGTGGATATGCGTTGAAATATGCACTTGCTAAGACAACATAAGTATATTAAGCGGCCGTTGCAAAATACTCGGGTAAGGACAAATTTAGTTTTGTATTACTTATCTGCGTGTTCTAGTTAAACTTGCAACAAAATCATGGGAAAAAAATTGGATCATGAGTGTAAATGCATTTCAAAAGACTATAAGGAATTATAATTGAGGCTTTTCATCAAAGTGATTAACTTTAATAACTCAAGTCTTCTTTAAATCTTATCCTGCCACAGGGCTAATCCCCATTGTGCCAAGCCACAAGTCCCCCCAGTGCCAAATTTATAACGAGATAATAGGATTAACGCGATGGTACTACCAATAGCGCGTGCAAAACACTAGGCACAGTCCAATGGGCATGAACAATAATTGCTATTACGAATGCGTGCAATCATGCAAGAAGCAGAGTAACAGTAGCTTGCTCGTGTGTACAAAGCACTATAACAATAGCGTGCATGCAACCACAATGCAGGCTATGAGTTTAACAAAGAGATAAAGTATCAATAAATACAAAATCATTTCCACACGTCGTTTTCTTGGTCTGGAATATTTACTGACCGGACAAATTTTTGAAAATGAAAAAAGAAAACTGCCATATACACATGCAAATTTACAGAATAGCAGGGTTTGCGCGATTTCAATCGCTGTGATTCCCCCCCCCCCCCCCCCCAAAAAAAAAAAAAAAAAAAATATATATATATATATATATATATATATAGATATAGGAGTTGGAAGGTTACACTTTATTGGTACGAGTTATACAGACTGTTTCGCCAGAAGGCTCATCAGTAACTAAATACATAATACAATCATGGCGAAGTTAAAAACACTCATGTGTAGTCAGGCAAGAATACAAAAGAGACACAAATAATACCCAAGTACACTGTTAAAACAAGTATTAAAAAACTGCGGGTTAAAAAATTGTTGATTAAAAAACGCTCAACCATGGTTAAAAATGTAGTGTTGATTAAAATGTACTTTTAATCTTGCGTTGGTTAAAAACAGTGTTGATCAAAATTATTCCTTTTAACCTATGTTGGTTAAATCTAAGTCGTTGGCAAAAATTGTAACCCAGCATGGATTAAAAACAAAATTCCGACAGTAATGATAGCCCGCTTCCGGTTAAGTTTAATCAATGTTGATTAAAGTACTGGTCACGTGACCCAACGGAACGATATCGAAGCGCGTAGCTAGCGATCGCTCGACATACAAATAAAGTACATGCAAAGTACATGCAGTTTACGCGTGCGACAAAATTAACAATGGAGGTTGTCGCGAGGACCTGAGAAATGGGGGTTTAGACGGTCTTATCTCCGTGTTTTCAGGTCAGAAATTATTTTAATATTATCATCATCAATTCTAAGATTGTAAGGAAGAAGTGAAATAAGGTTCTTGCTCAAATCAAAAACGATTTTTTTTTTTTTCCCCTAGGCTGTACGTAGCTCAACCAATAAGTAACATTTTACTTGCACCGTGCACCTGGCTCTCTCGTAAGCACACACACACTCATCAGTCTGCAAGAATCTTCAACCGTGAAGGAGGCAGACCCAATTACAGAAGGAGAAGTGTAGGCCTATTACGGATCACCTACCCAAATTGCATGCATGAATAATAATCTTATTTTTTCAAATCTAATTGTATCTAATTGTTTAAAACAATTAAATATAAAATAAGATGTCATCATAAAGTGAAACGTCTTTATGCATGCAATTTGGGTAGGTCATCCGTTACACTTACTGGCTGAGCTACAACCTACGGGCCGGGACACAAAGCGTTTTTAATTTGAGCAAGAACCTTATTTCACTTCTTCCTTACAATCTTAGCATTGATGATAATCATATTAAACAATTTCTTACCTACAAACACGAGGATAATACCTCCAAACCCCCGTAAGTTTAACCAACAGTGGTTATAACTGTAACAACAACCCACTAAAGTTTAACCAACATCGTGTGAATCAAAAAAGAATTAACCTACAATGTTTACAATTTTAACCAACGACCTATGTAAGTTTAACCAACATCATGTGAATCAGCCCCGAACAAAGCATAAATAACCAACAAAAGATTAAATTTTTAATCAACAAATGGTTAAAGTTTAATCAACATCATTTTAACCAACATTGAGCAAATTTTTTTAACCAATAATTGATTAAAAATTTTTATCAACCACAGGTTAAATTTTAATCAACAGGCTGTTGGTAAAAGTTTAACCAACGATTGTGTGATTCACCTGGTAATCCGTGGTTGATTAAAATTTTAACCAACTTGATTAAAAATGTTAATACTTGTTCTAACAGTGTAAGGGCGAACGCAATAATACAATAGTGGAATTAAGTGGTTTAAGGGTAAGGGGAAAGGTCATGGTGGTACAGGGGGGGGGGGGGGTTAACCATATTCAGAGGGTAACTCTGCATAGTCACTCTGCCAATTATCCGTTGTGCTACTCTCGTACTGTCTAACTTCTTCTTATCTTTTTGAGTTGCATTCCCAAGATAGCATAATGTTGTATGTAGCTACACTAGTACTCTCTATCAATGATCTGTAGAATAGAATCAGAATTGTTTTGTCTACATGCATCTTTCTCATCATTCTCAAGAAGTACATTCTCTGATTGCACTTTTTTCTAAGCAAGGTAACATTCGATGACCAGTCGAGTGAATCAGATACCATTGTTCCCAAGTACTTATAACTGTCAACTCAATAAGCGGTGGTCTTGCTTGTGGACTTCTCCGAAAATCAATAATAATTTCCTTTATCTTCGAGACGTTCAACTTGAGATAGTAACCATTAAATCTGCATTTCAAAATCATATTTACACCAGCCGTAGAATTCCTCAAAGCCAATTTTTACGAAAATCCTTTTAGGCGTTATCATCGCGTGTACGTACGTATGTGTGGTCGGATAGACGGACAACTATGAAACATACAGGCTTCCCAGCCCCCTTTGGTGTTTGAGACATAACCATTAGCCGAGTTTATTTGCTACAACATCAAAATCAATACTATCATCAGTATTTTCTTCTTCTTCTTGTTCTTTCTCCTCCTCATCATTATTGTCACCTCCATGACTATTATAATCAACAACCACATCATATTAAAAGTACTTGTGATCATAAAGGTCTCGATTTGTGTTCACGACGATGTCAACAGTTCTTCATTCATATTCATATTCATATTTATTTCATTTCCAACAGAAAGGTAAACAAAGATATTACATTTGATTTCATACATAATTCATTTTTTTTCAAGAAACAATACAATAAACTTTGCACATAATAAAATTATTACAAGAATTTCTTAATTTCTGAGGAAATGGGGGGGGGGGATCAACTAAAAAGCGGAAGTCACCGTCACTTATACACATAAACCCACTTCCACACCCACACAATAAACACACACACGCACACGCACACACACGCACACATACGCACACACACTGAATATGACCTTGGCTGTTTGGTTGTGTGTATATGCATACATATGTCATGATATGAAGTTATGCCACTTATTGCTTTGACAATTGGCCGCAAAACCCATAGTAACCAAAGAGCCTTTTCTGCGTAGAACGGGAGAGAGAGAGAGATATAGTGTGAAACATACGAAATATACGGGAGCATGGATTACAAATTACAGCTCAGTTCAGTCTAAGTTTATTTTCATATTTCATATGTTGTATAATACATTACTACAATCGGCATGTTATATATATTTTGTTAAATATATATTTAGACAAACCAAGAGAATAATACATCAGACTAAGTTAAATAAAGGGAGAAATATGATGGAGCCTAAAGAGAAAGCCATGCCTGTAGGTCATAGGCTCCAGAACTTATAGTCTTGTGTATATTGAATAACGTAATACGATTAAATTGGAACTTATTTTAAGGAAAAGGTAAACATTGGTTATATAGTTAGCAAGACTTGTGTGACATTATCACTGATTACTAGTATACGATACTGATCTCTCTATTACAGCGATACCAACGTTCAATTTGGAAGATGTCTCCCAAACGCATGTCGCTGATGGCAGCGTACGTCTGGCCGATGGACCAACAGAACTGGAAGGTCGTGTAGAGATCTTCTACAATGGCTCATGGTTTGCAGTTTGCGATGGTATCTGGCGTATTGAAGAAGCCGATGTGGTTTGTCGACAGCTAGGGTTTGAAGCAGCTATTGCACCAATATGCTGTTCACGGTATGGATACACCGATCTCCCAGCGATCTTCAACCGCGTCGAGTGCGCTGGGTCGGAGGACAATCTCCTCACATGCCCGCATACTGAGGCAGGCTTTGGTAACTGCCAGAGCTACAGTCACGCTGGCGTCGTATGCAGAAGTAAGTGTCGAGGGTTCAGAGACACAAAGACGAAACTCCATATTTTGCCAAAATGAGTATTTGAAAACAAAATGTTCAGAAAATGTGGGCTTTCCCATTATAAACACAAACACTTAACCCCGCCCAACGCTCCATTGAAGTCAAAGGCTAGTGAAACATAGACCTGACTCCTTAATGCCCAAGTGCTCAGTGACACTTAAACCACTTCTTACGAACACACACATACTAATGCAATCACACTGACTTTTTGAAATTTACTGGATACCAATTAAGCTCCTGTGTGCATAGAGAGAGGTAATGTCGCTTAAATACTGAAATTAAACCGAATAAATGGTCGCCGTCGATGGACTGGCTTTCTTGCAATGTTTATGTTGAATTAATGTTGTTCAGTGTTTAAATACTTTTTGTTAAAGATACATTATCTACAAAAATTCTTGCGTACATGGAAGCTCATAATACTTGACCAAATTAAATTTCAATTGATTGTTTATCTCTTCTTTATTTTTACAGGAGAACTGACACCTTGCCCTCTCCCGGTTGGACCAACCATTGATTGGGACGCTGCGTATCAATGTATAAACCCTTACTACCAACAATTCGTGAATAACTACAGCCCTCAGGTTCCTGGGGAGGTCTCTCCTTTCCTCACTATAGCAAACCTCATCGATGCTGTCGGAGCCGTTTGGGATTCTGACAGCCTGGTCCAAGGCATGGGCCACCTCTGCCGATTGGTAGCGCCACGGCTGGCGGATCCAGGTCCTGATGTCTTCCGTGGGGTGTGCGACCCCGTGCTGACAGCTCTGTCCAATGGAACTGATCTAGACAGCGAGCAAATATGTAGATTCGTCTACTCAATTGCAATGCCCAGACCTTACACCGGAGCGCCCTACACACCTGATACCAGCATTCCCTATACACCAAGCACTGAAACTCCTCGGACACCAGGAGGATCCTCCACTGATTATCCCATCTCTTTTTCCTCCTTCACTCCAATCATTTGCTTCTTTTCCAGTGAGTACCTATCCTACCTAGGCCCTCCTTTCGGTGTCGATGCCTTTCGGAACTTAGACATCGTCACTCTCCTGCCCCAAGCTGTCGAAAACGTGCTGAACATCACCTCATACGACGAGGACACTGTATGCTCGGCTGTGGGTCACCTGACTAGCAGAGAATACGCACCACGTGATATTGCCATAGATTTCATGGCCGAACTATTGGCAGACCTCTACCCAGCAGCTAATGAGATCTGCACAAATTGGGACGACATTATCGAAACCATTCTTTCAGAGTCCAGCAGCTACTTCTACAGCTTCGATGTTGGAGTCATGGTGGACGAAATACCCGCCCTCATTGCGCTTTTGACCGACTATCCCGACAGGGAAACGCTTTGTCTTTCTATCCGCACTGCGACTCTTCTTGGTGAAGACGCCGTGTATGCTTCCGCAAGATCAATGGTTGAAAGTATGCTGAATGTTCTGACGACTCAGGAAAAATGCGTTTCTCTAATCGACAGTACTCTGACTGTTATCACTGATACTTCAGATGAGATTACTCTCGGTGATTTAGAACAGTATGATCTTCCATTTTACACGGGATTCGATGATGTACAAGGGATTTGCCAGTACCTAGAGACATCTTTCGGTCCTAGATGTAAGTCCACTTTAAAGGATACACTGATGATAACATTTTCCATTTAGAAAAGGGACGTTTTGGGAGGTGGTCCGACAATAGCTCGTGGCCTTATTTCATCAAAATATAGGTTATGATTAGAATGGCAAATGGGTTTTTAGTTTAGGCTGAGTGTAAGACAGAGGTATTTAAGAAAAGTAGGAAGTTTGGAAAAATTACTGTGTAGCAATTGTTGCAGGAGAATGTGTCGGACAAATTTTAAGAAAATCTAAATTTTAAAAATATCTCGATTCTTAAAATGATTCCAAGGACAATGAATATCAATGAGCAGATGATGACCAATTATAAGAGCCGTTATCATTTTATTCTATGGCGAAGACATTTGGCCTTTACAAGAGACTGGTCCTAGGCGATGGTTTTAAAAGTACGATGCATGACTAGTTTCTCTAAGAAAAAATATTAAGAATCTACATAGCACATAGTTATATACGCTGGGTCAAAATACATGTTCTCTGCATATTTGTCCAAGTAATCGAAATTATTAGATAATACGATCGCTTATACTTTCTCGTCACAAGGTCAATTTCAATATCCTATTGTATATCTCCAAGAAATCATGTTCATATTTTTCAAAACTTAATTGTTTTGTTCGCATATTTCAATAGGTAATGGTCAAAACTATTGAAATTGCGTTTTTTTTTTTCTCTCTTTCCAATACCCTTCAAAGACCCTCCACTTCAGGTCCGGCTTGTTGGTGGAGGGACCCCAAATGAAGGTCGAGTCGAAGTACGATACGCAGGCGAATGGGGAACTGTCTGTGACGATGAATTCGACAATGACGATGCCAAAGTGGTGTGTCGGCAACTGGGTTACCGTGGTGAAGCCGTTAGTCTTGGAAACCAGACTCCCGGTACAGGTGAAATCCTTCTGGACGATGTCGGGTGCCTGGGAGTTGAGTCTAACCTCGGACAATGCCCAAATGCTGGGATTACCGTCCATAATTGCGCTCACACTGAGGATGTCAGCGTGACCTGCGGCTTTGAAGGTACAGTTCATCATATCATTAGGGACTTTTAGATTCACACAAAGACAATGGGGATTGCTACGGTCGACGTCCTTTTAATGCACTGCCTTGAACGAACGTCACACGTATCAGTCCACGCAAATCTAGAAGTCCCTAATGACATGAGTCGATTTACGCAATTTACGATTTTTGTTTTCAACTTGTCTCTCCATCTCTCTCTCTCTCTTTCAGTCTAGTTGCCACATCTGTTTACGATGGAGATCATGCCATTCCACAATTCTCTGCTTTAGTCTTCGTGAAAGGCTCTTTTCCCCGTTCTTTCACTCCTCTCTCAGCAAGTCATCTAAGCAGAGTATCCAACCATCAGCAACATACCATTCTTCTGCTTCTTTCGGTGCTCATTTTCCCTTTCATCATTCTTGTCAATGCCAGATTACTCGAACCGCCTTTTTGGATCGAGTGTCTCATGAATCTCATCTTAAGAATCCTTATCGCATGAGCCAGTTTTCCTTCCACATCCGCTCTTCGCTACACTTCTTCGTTACTCTTTACAAATAAGTTGGGTTGCTAACAAGTAATAGTCTTTTTAAAAACAAACACGATCATTTGAAATTTGTCTAAATCTTGTGAAGCATAATGTAAGATTAACGTTATTTGTTTGTGTTAAATTGTATCACGCCCAACACCTCTTTTTGCCTCATACACCATCAGTGACACTTGGGCCAACGCTCTCTACGACAGACATTTTACTTACCCGACTGGTTGGTGGCAGCACAGAGAACGAAGGACGTCTCGAAGTATTCTACCAAGGCCAATGGGGAACAGTCTGTGATGATCGGTGGACTGCGAGCGCTACGGATGTTGCCTGTCGTTCTCTTGGCTTCCAGGGTGGCGAGGGCTTCTCCTGTTGCGCAGAGTACGGCAGAGGTATGGGTCCAATCGTCCTTGATGACGTTATCTGTACTGGGGAGGAAGATAGCATCGCGTCGTGCAGTCACAGTAGACCATTAATTCATGACTGCAGGCATTCGGAGGACGTCAGTATCTCTTGTATCCCAAATGGTAAGGACGTTATCATTCCATATCTGCGGTATGACTTGTATGAATTTGTATTGCAATATCCAGTTATCAGAAGTATTCATCTATAAAAGAAAAACCAATACCACATATGGATGTCGAACTACAATGTATTTGACTGTTACACTAATGCAGTGAAGAAGTCGATCGACATTTGACGCCGCTTCATTCAAAATTGCCCTGTTCAAAGCCTTTTTTTTTAAAGTACCCTATCCCCCCCCCCTGTTTTCGACAACTTGCGAATAATATAGACAGAGTACCATAGACGTAATTTGATAACATGGTAAGTTAGTAAGTAAAATAAATGTAGTACTTCGTAGGTTAATAGGGTTGTGATGGTTACGCCTCAATTGTTTTGTTGTCAAAAATATATATATATATCATTTAAACAATAAGCATATATTTCATTATTATCCAAAGTCTTCGAAATAAGTGTGTGGATTAAAAAAAGAAAAGACAACGGCTCTGTCGTTTTCTTCATCTTGTGATTCTAGGTGGCGGCACAGGAGCTGTTCGTCTGGTTGGTGGAAGCAACGAAGCAGAGGGAAGGGTTGAAATTCGGTATAACGGAGTCTGGGGAACTATCTGTGATGACTCGTGGGATATCACCGATGCCAGTGTTGTCTGCCGCATGCTAGGATTCCAGGGGGCTTCTGGTGCTCCAGGATCAGCTCAATTCGGACAAGGCACTGGTCCCATCCAACTAGATAACGTTGGCTGTTCAGGAGATGAGGAAACTATCTTTGACTGTGAACACCCTGGTTTTGGTGCTCACAATTGTGGTCATTATGAAGATGCCGGAGTAGTTTGCACTGCTTCAGCAGGTACAGGTAAATATCAGCTTTGTACTGAAAGGAATAAACAAGGTTACATGTCGTTTTCCCAAATGTAGACAATTTCGAAGGTTCGTTACTCTGGAGGTTCTTAATTCCAAAGGTTCAATTCTATGATGGTTCCTAATTTCGAAAGTTCGTAATTCCGAAAATGACATGAAACCCTGTTTTGCTATTGGAATCAAAAACCTTCGTTATGCCGTACTATCTAATTTTCGGAATTATAAACCTTCGGATATACGACATTTCTAAAAAGCGCATCAAATGTTCGGAAGTACATGTATAAACCGTATTTCATTTTCAGAATTATGAGCCTGCTGATTTGGGATTATCATATTTATGTTTCGAATTTACAAACCTTTTGAATTATGAACTTTCATAAAAACCAAATTTCGGAAAAGGAGGTTGCATAAGGTTCAACCCTTACTTGTAAAATGTACTCCCTTTTCCCCAAATCAGGTTCCAATTGTACTGATACTTCAAATAAACTTAAATATCAAAATATATATTGTACATAGACTTGTCCTTTTGCAGTAAAAGCAGGTTTATCATCATGTAAACAATTTAGGTACTATGGCATATCAAATATCTATTTTGAAATATATCTGTATTCTATAAACGAGAAAATATTTTATTGGGAGACCACTAGTATTGCCAAAGCCTTTGCTGAGAATATTTGTAACTTTCATTCCGGTGTCCTATATGTTATCTATTATCGTGTACATAACTTCAATATTTTGTTTAAAAAATAACTGAGCAAATTGTTTCGCAGTTTGCGACAGACGAAGAATTTGTATTGTTTCGACGCGGTAGTCTTAATTGTTTCTGTATCGTATTAGAGAATGGTATTACGTATTATAATTTGATTTAATGTTTTAGATGTACGTCTGGTTGGTGGAAGCAACGAAGCAGAGGGAAGGGTTGAAATCCAGTATAACGGAGTCTGGGGAACTATCTGTGATGACTCATGGGGTATCACCGATGCCAATGTTGTCTGTCGCATGCTAGGATTCCAGGGAGCTTCTGGAGCTCCAGGATCAGCTCGATTTGGACAAGGCACTGGTCCCATTCAACTAGATGACGTAGGCTGTACAGGAGCTGAGCAGACTATCTTTGACTGTGCCCACCCTGCTTTTGGTGTTCACAATTGTGCTCATTATGAAGATGCCGGAGTAGTTTGCATTCCTTCAGCAGGTACAAGACAAGTTAAATAGTCGTTATCAGACTTATACCCACAATTTTAAATAAAGGTTCCATCTCATTTTCCCGAATTTACATAATTCTATGTTTCGTTACTCTGTATATTCGTTATGCCGAAAATACTTTTCGGTAATGGTCCATGATTTTGTAGGTTCGTAATTCGGGAAGTGAAATAGGGTTACTATCGTAAAAAACAAAGTTCTGAAAAGGAAGGTTTCCAATAATCAACGCTTATATGTAACACGTATAACCTTTTCCGAAATCAGGATCCAATTGTACTTATACTTCAACTCAGTTCAAATATCAAAAATGGTTTATAAATCAAATCAAAACCATATCTCTTACATAGACTTTTCATTTTTTCACAAAAAGCAGACCGATTATCAATACCGACATGACACAATTGCATATTTAATATCATTTGTTTAATACATCTATTCATTTGTTTATATACATACAAATTATTATAATAAGAGGGCAATAGTATTCCTAGATCCTTGGGTGAGAACATTTGTAATTTCAAATCGTGTGTCCAGGATTTATCCTTACCCAAATTATACAGAACTTGAGTACTTTGTTCAAAAGGAACTGAACAACCTTTTTACGCAGGTTATGATAGACACATAATTTTCGTTATTATTCGTTTGACGCGATGCTCATAATTATTACGTTTCATTTTTTTCAAAATAAAGAGAAGGGTTATGAGTATTAGCATTTCATTTAATCTTTCAGCTGTTCGTCTGGTTGATGGAAGCAATGAAGCAGAGGGAAGAGTTGAAATTCAGCATAACGGAGTCTGGGGAACTATCTGTGATGACTCATGGGGTATCGAGGATGCCGATGTTGTCTGCCGCATGCTAGGATTCCAGGGGGCTTCTGGAGCTCCAGGATCAGCTCGATTCGGACAAGGCACTGGTCCCATTCAACTAGATGAAGTTGGCTGTACAGGAGATGAGCAGACTATCTTTGACTGTGCACACCCTGCTTTCGGTGTTCACGATTGTTCTCATTATGAAGATGCCGGAGTAGTTTGCGTTGATACATCAAACTGAATCACTAGAACACTCGGCTCTCTCCTTCCGTTGTAACTGATTGGTGGTGTGCAAGTGAACCACTGGGTTTTCCTCCTGTTCTTATACAAATAATGCACTGGAGGCTTAACATACAAAAGTGGTGACTCTTCCCTAATCGGGGCCTCCATTTACCGTCCGTCTTTATCCATAAGTAACAGTTTCAAGTCCCCTTTGACGAGATTAAGTAAAACAGAACAATTACTAAAATTAAAACACATTTATGATAGTATGAATATGCCAATGGCTCTTTTTTATGTTCTGGTAGCAAACGTTTCATACTAATAGGTTTATTCGTATTTTGGTATATTAAGGGGATTTAATCTTTCGAAATAAAATAATGTCGGGTTTAATGGTTTTTAACTAATTGTGATGAGGGATAAATTCTCATGTGTGGTGATGGATACATTTCATGAAACTCTTTGAACATATATCTAGTTGGCTACGAGTATGAAATGTGCGATTTCATTTAGACCGAAACCGATTAGAAATATCTCTTATAGGAAAATCATAAATTCATGGCAAACTATAGAAAAAGACCGAATAATCAGGGAAGCATAATGTTAACAATTTGAATGAAATCGGATAACAAACTAGAAATGTCAGATGTTTGAGAAATGCTATCACTACATGTATGGGCTCTACAAAGTGACTAAATCGGTATCGTTTAAGTATAGTGGCGGACAACTTTCCTATTTGTTTCAACACACAAGAAGACTCATATTTCAATTCTTCGAAAATGTATGACTTAGAATTGTCTTTTCTCTTTATAGAACCAGTAATAATACACTGACAAAATAACCTATTTGAAATCCTCAAAGCTGTAGTGATATCATATTGCAAACAATCTTTACTTTCTTATTATTGGTCCGATTTATTTCAAACTTTCGCTATTCTTTTCTCTCTGATTTTTTCCGTTTGTATTTCTAATGAATTTATTCTAAGGGTTGGATTGCCCTTTCGTGGTTGATATAAATTAATAATTGTGTTTGTAGATGTTTGCAAATATACGAAATAAGGCCAAACCATATGTCCCCATGTATTTGACTAGATCCTTGCCCTTTTATTTGAAATATTGCAGTATAAAATTGACATTAAAATAATGCTTTTCTCTCGAATGTGGGTAACATTTCAAACACAAAATATTAATTATTGCAATAGGTATTACATCTGTTGGATATTTTTCTGTTATTAACTTTAAGATTCTTCGATCTACAATTTCAAACTATTTATAATGATGATAAGACACACATGGGTGTTGTTAATCTCCAATATTATAAGTAGAGTATGACAGATTCCAATATTCTAACTTGCAGTATACAACATCTAATGGCATTTTGGGCAAATATCTCAGTCAGTCCCTTCTTCGTTATTTAAGAATTTTAATCTCAATATCTTGTATCTTTCGGGTATTTTTTACCCTTTTTAAATTCTCAATTAAGAGCATAATTTTACGTCATTTACAGTCATTACTTATGTTTTTCAAAAAAAGGAATGGAGAAGGTAGCTGTTGGGTAAAATATAACTTTGAGAATTATGATGATTTGTATGAAATGTATTAATTTTATTTTACTTGTTTGCATGAGTGAAGGAATAAAATTGTCATGAATCGGATTATTTACCATTAGTGTGAAGTGCTTTATTGCTTTCATTTTATTGGGTTCTCCAGCAAGAATGTATTGTAAGGTGTAAAGATAAGTTCGATTCATTTCTAAATCAATATTTATTTACAATATACAAAGTTAAAGAAGAAGACCGAAATAGAAGAACCTGGTAAGAGATAAGGTGGAAATATAATATTGTTGAAATTGAGAAGGAAATACACATGTTTATAAGAGATGAATAATATCTTAGTGAGTATAAAGGGATTTTATTAACAAGTGGGACGATGAAATACGCTGAAGAGAGAAAGTATGAACCAACTAAGGCTTATACAGAATGATAGAGAGATAGTGGGAAAGAGTGGGTGAGTGAGTGGAAGATACGTAGAGTGTTTGTTTATGACGTTCTGTATCCCATATGCAGTACGAGGTATTTTATGATCACAATGGAAGATATGAGAAAATACTCTTCAAAGCAAAAAAACACCAGAAGTAGCAACTGTATGTTGATGCTTCGATTATTTATTACGTTTCGAATGTAATCTTACACACAAAAAAAATTGTGTAAGTTTACTCATAAACAAGTGTTAATTTACTGACACTATAATGACACACTAAATGAGTAAAATTTACTCATCCAATTTAGTTTTTTCTCTTGGTACTCACCATGTTAGTTCCTGTTGTAATGCAGATAAGTGAGTTTTTACAATTGACACTATAATGACACTCAAGTGAGTATTCTTCATGAGTATTCTTCAACATACTCATAACACACACAAAATATTGTGTAAGTTTACTCATAAACAAGAGTTAATTTACTGACACTATAATGACACACTAAATGAGTAAAATTTACTCATCCAATTTAGTTTTTTTCTCTTGGTACTCACCTTAGTTCCTGTTGTAATGCAGATAAGTGAGTTTTTACAATTGACACTATAATGACACACAAGTGAGTATTCTTCATGAGTATTCTTCAACATACTCATGATTGTGAATCTTGTTTACACACCATTACGAGTGAATAAAATAATTTGGTTTGGTGATTAATGATGATGGGCATGCACCTGTGAGTTAATCATTTAACTCATTCACGAGTAATTTAATGGTACATGTACTGCAACCACACGTCTTTTTTCCCCCTAAAAACGCAAACATCAAACAAACTCACGGGTATTCAAATAAAAACGAAACAAACTCTTACTTACGCCTTCGCTCTTCCCATGCACGTCAGCCATTCTATGGAGTCTATTCTTGCATGCTGTAGTATATTATTGCATGCATATGCATTGCATTGCTTGGCCCCAGCATGCGCGAGCTCGCGCATGTGCCGTCGTACTCAGATTCGTGGATGTTTTTCTCCGACTCTAGATCCTATACACATGCAATGAGTGAGATCACTCACTTGACAAGTAACATAGTATTGGAAGTTTTCGAAGAACGAGTCAATGAGTAAATATCCCACAGTTTAATGAAAACTCAGTGATGCGTTAATGACTTGGTTTACTCACTAGGCAGTAGATTTACTCATTTAACATGATTTTCATCGAGAACATGAGCATGTTTACTCACTTTTTTCTACACCAGTTGAGAATACTCGTTCAAGTGATTTTGTTTATATAACATCGAGTAAAATGAAACTCACCAAAGGCGGTAACAAATGTGATGCTTGGTCATGTACTCCAGTTTAGGTGTAAAAATACATATTTTCGACTGCAATTCACCCGACTATATGAGTTTGTTAAGGGTTTTACTCGAAACAGGGAGTTCTTGTTTTTTGTGTGTAGGCGAATCACCAGACATGATTTGACTATGAAATGTCAATTGTGAATATATTTGTAATAAATACAAAACCCAATATGTTATGCAAAATTTAACATCTATTTCTACAAAAGAGACACCCTTCTCAATAGACACTCAGTACATAATTGTTTCATGTTCCAAAGGTTTGTTTTTCAAGTAAAATGTCACATCTTATGAGAGCAAAGAGAATTATTGTACGTTTCCACTTTTTAGATAACGTTGAGTTCTGTTTATCCGACTTTATTTTGACAAAAACCGTGTAAAAACTATTTGAAAAGGGTGATCAACAGTAGCACATCAGCGTTGGTGTAAGATATAAGGATTTGGAATTATCAAAAAGATAAGAAACTGCTCCAGCCCTCCCCCTCCCCCAAGGTTTTGCTCTCTAGGGTGATTCGTTTTTCATTGGCATCAAGTTTGTTTGCAACTTTCGCCCTCTTTTCGTTCATTTTCTAAGTAATGTGTAACAATTTAATCTGTATTCAACTTTTCCCCCTCTTTTTTGTTTGTTTTATCTTACTTTGAATGAGAGAGGCAGATTTTTCTTCTTTTTTTCTACCCTACTTATTTAATAGGGGAAATAACTCTTAATTGAATAAACTTTAACCAAAGAAAAAAAACACGAAACCAACGTAACGAACTAGTGAAAATTAAGAAAATTAATAATTTAACTTTTAAAAAACGGAACCTTTTACGCAAAAATAAACCAATTGTTTTTCAATATTTTAAATAAATGGCAACTGTCCGCAATAAAGGCCCTACGTGTATTCACTGAGCTCTATGTTATACAGAAATGTGAAGTTACGTCATTAAAGAAATGAGGAGTTTACTCTTGCATATAATCCTATAAATGTCAAAATAGGCCTATATTTTGATATTTTTTTTTTAAAGACCAACCGACTGTCAATGTTGAATGTATCATTTCACCGTTTTCTATTCGAACGTTACCTTAATGAATGAAGTTATCAGGAAGTGACACCATGGCCCTGAGAGCTGATCATCTCAACACTTGGTGGGAAAGATGATACCATTTAAGACCCTTTTTAAGAATAGGAGTGGTTTCATTTACTTCCCTTTAGGATACAGTAGCAAAAATGATCAAGGTTAAGTAGTCTTTCAATTTTCCGGCGAGAAAATGCGGGCAGGTATACGCGAGGGGATGTCTGGGAATAGAAAAATTGGCAGGACGGATCATTGAATGTTTACCTAAGGTTCAACAGAACATCGGTAATTGTAATGATGATAATGATGATATTAATATAGGATTTCCCGGCCAAATTCGCGTGTTTGTCATTCGAATTCATTTACTTTGCATTTAAGTTAGCGCAGATCGGCTTTGCCATGCCAATTATAATTCAATATTCCAGTTTTTGTATTTAATTTAGGATTTTGGTCGAAGGGTTTCATAGATCTGTCATTCAATTTAGAAACTGCTCAACTATGGACGTATATTGATATTAGCTACAGATTTTAACGGTTGTTAAATTCATTATATTTTACATGTAATTGTTGTTTGTTTCACTTTTTATTACAGCTTAACTTTTTATATTTGATTAATTGGTCAGCCGCAAACAAGGACCACCTCCTTTCTGGTTGCTACCAGCATTAGCAATTTCCTTTGTATTATTCATGTTTGTAAATTGATTCTGTGTATTTCTGTGTTTATCTATGTTAGTAATTGTAATTGTGTGAAACTTTGTATACTGCTTTTGTTTTACCATGTATGTTTTTTTTATTGGTTGGCAAAATAGATTGAATTGAATTGCATTGAACTAGCATTCAAATTAATATGCACTTGTCGAAGCGTAATTGTTATCATTCAAATTAACACCTGTCATTCGTATTCGTAATATTTTTATTCAAGTTAGGAATGGTAGGGGCAAGAATTGCAACAAACTTTTACAGTTTTCAAATAATGCAGTTAAAATGCATGATTTACCATTGGGGTCTAAGCTGTTATTCCATTTATTTATTTTCAGGACAATGCAGATGGGTGTAGTCAGACATAAAGTAAAGAAGGGGCGAAATCAAGGGATATGGCATTTCTGCATGGACATGTTCATATACCCGGAAAAGGTGGGGGTACCCTCAATCGCCCCTTTTTACTACAGACTCGGAATTGTAAAAAAGTAATTCACATCGTCTCTTATACCCAGCACACCCCTCTGCTTTTCTTAAAGAGTTTCATAGTTTATTTGCCCGCAGGCAGATCGATGGCTAAAGACATGGATAAATAATGAATCATGTTCAAATTGTTGACTCTAGTCCCTACCCCAGTCACAATATTGTACCCCTCTTCCATAATGAAATTATGATGAAGTTATGATAAATTTATGATGAAACATAAGACAAACAACTTCCTTTAATACATGAACATTTACAAATATACTGAGACCATCAGTTCAGTTCAGTTCAGTTCATTTATTTCAATCATAAAACCATAACATAATATATATACAAAAGTAACATGAAACAATCATAATCTTATAATATTGGAATTAAGAAATTGGAGACTAAAAAGGAAGTTTGAAAAACTTGTAAGTAAAATAGTGCCCTGACATAAATAATAAATAACGAGATTACATGGTTGTATACGTTACGACAATAATAACAATATATAAATAATATACTACACATTATAGATACACACACACACACACACACGCACACACATGCATGGTACATTGCAAGAAAAAGAAAGAGTTAAGGGAAATAAGAAGAGACCAACTGTCTCTTCAATAGAACTTTAAAGGATGATATAGTTGTGCATAATGTTAGCTTATCAGTTAAATCATTCCAAATCCGGGGACCATTATGTCTAAAAGAGTAAAGCATTAACTGGGTAGAGACCTTTGGATAATGATATTTGATACAGGAACGAGTATTATACGAATGAACAGATTTATTAAGGATAAACATTTGACAAACTCTTTTAGGTACATAATTATTATAAACATTATACATCATAATCAGGTCCGTAGATGCAAGTCGTTTTTGTTCTTCTTAACAATCAACCTTAAATGCTGATGAATATCAGATAAATCGAATAAGTATAAGTGTATAAATGCAAGAAAATAAAATATGATGAAATACACATGAAAAAATAATCTTGAAAGAAAAAGAATGAGCTATAAAAAGTGTGTAATAAACGAGTAATGTACATTGACCATCAATTTAAGTGCACAAAGTGCTAATTTGAATGCTACAAAT